AATTCTCTTTGAGTGTGCATTGAAGTCCCTGGCTATAGGAACTGACATGAATTTGAGATTTTACTCAAGAAAATTAAATAATTCCAAGTTATATTAGTATGGATACTACATAGGAAATGTAATGGTAATTTCTTCATGATTTAAAAATTCTTATCTGAATACAGAAAATGCCTAAAGGACATTTGAAATTGAATTGTAATTTGAAATGAAATTGAATTTGAGTTGAAAGGACCATAAATACCTTCTGAGGTTCTGTCTTTCCAATGCTTCATTCCAACCAGCACTTGGCAATTGTTCTGCTAATTGAAACTTCAGTGGACACGTGATTTTGCAAAAACCTATCATCATTCATATTGATATTTTAATTTCCAGAAAGACCAGTGACGGAAGGACTGTGAGCCTTGTGCAATTGATTTGTTTCTATGGCCAGATGTTGTGTGGAAACTTCTCTGCTTGTGCTGTCCCTTCCTTTTGATCCCAAATCCATTTTGGATTATGTGATAGCATTACCTGGCCAGAACATGGGAACAAGCAACGTTTTCAAATAAACTAAAACTGAAACGGGATGAGCTCTGGATTCTTCTCTTCCATTACTTGGGCTTTACTATCAGCCATGTTAGAAAGTGCTCCCCCCAGAAATATCTTAGCTTTAACACTAAATTACCATCTGCAATGTATTTTGATCTTAAAGCTACGGAATCCTCATCCTGACAGCCCCAGGGCTGTAGACAGAGGTGCTGCTACACTGTGGCTGCTCACATGAGGAGCAGGAGTGAAATGGCTTTGTTAAAAGGTTCCAGTTTATTCTCATGAATGTTACAACTCAGACTTCTGACCTCTGAAGAAGAGGCACTGGAAACTCAGTATGTTCCTCTTCCCTTTCAAAATAAGCACAGTAAAGAGTCACTTGGCTGGAAGGTAAATCCTCCCAGCTTTTCCTCTCAAGAGGTGATAGTTATATTTTCTTTATCCTCCTAACTAACTGAAGTCACTCTTTTGGAAGAAAATTCAAAATGGCTGAAGTTCCAGCCATATCTCCTGCTGACACTTCTCCCCACAGCCCATCTTCTCCTGTCTCTGGGAAAATATGCTCACAGCCATTTGACATCTGAGAACTCTCACCATGTATGGACTAAATGGTGCAAATCAACCCATAAGAGAACCCTTTAGTCTCTATTTTCCCATAAGAGCATGCAACAGTATGGGTAGAGAAGAGGAAAGATCAACAACTTTCCAGAGTCAGCTCCAGCCAGGGGTTTCCCATCAGGACAATAATGAGTTTGGAGAGCCTGAAGGAAGGCTGGAAGCTGACTGCAAACCAGGCAGGATAAGCTGCTGCTTATCCTGGGATAAGCAGGACCAAGGGCAGTCTTGCAGCTTGGTGCCTCTCTTGATGTTGTGGCAACTCATTTGAAAACACAGACTTGACTTCATGTATGATTTCAAAAGATGGAAGACAGATATTCAGATTGGAGTGCCCCTAAAAAGGAGGAGAAGGCAACAACTAAACAGCACCAGGAGTCACAAACTCACATACATTCATGTTCTCCTCCCTCCTGTTGACTCTCCCTGCAAGCAGTGCCATTCAATCAGTATGCTAAAATGCAAAAGCCTCCTTCCTACTGCGTGGGTATGAGTGCCAGTGGCAGCAAAATGAACATTGTTGTAGCTTTGATGATTCCTGAATATATCTGCATGTAAAGGTAATATGAATCCTCATCTAAGGCACCACTGCCACATGAATCCCTCAAATACTTCTTTCAAGTTTCTAAGGTCTTTCCTTAGATTTTACTAGTCACTTCTTACTTCCTCTCAATAAACAGGAAGATGGCAAGTATTAAATGCAGGTAAGTTTCAGCTGCTCAAGTTACGTGCATCTGTAGTTCACACTCAAGCACTGAGAAAACACAGCCCTTCCCAGCATACAAATTAAGTGAGCTGAATAGGCACACCTATTTCAGGCACAGCTTTACAGAATGAGGGGACTGAGCCAAACTCCCAATCCCATCTGTATGCAGTGGTAACGGATGTGCAGCTGTGGGTTTTTATAGAACCATATATAGTTCAGGCAAACTTCCCCAAAAGTAATTCCATGCAAATTCATGTCTCCTATAAACTGGCTAGATCATGCAATGAAGACCTGTGTGGGGAGCGTGGGTGTGAAGAGGAGAGACAAAAATTTCTGACACATCTTTTCAAAGCAAACCAGTACATAAACAAGGAAATCAGAGGCTGCTGAATGTAGCCAAAGTCATCACAGTGAATCCAGTTCTACACCAGATAAAAAAGGCTCCCACAAACATGTAAGCATTGAAGGGCAAGTGAAAACAAAACTGACTCACCTATGTTCCTCATTTAGAATAAGAAAAATAAAACATCATAAGATAAACAAGTACAGTAACATGTAAAAAGAAAACCAGTTTGATAATATTCCTTTTTCTATCTACCTTCAGTAAGGTGGAATCATCAGCTTTAAGGAAACTTTAACCTATTTTAAGGTCAGATGGGACCCTGTAAAACAGCTGCAGACTACTACCTGAAAAAAGGCTGAATACTTTTAATATTCCACCTCCCTTGCAGCACCAAACAGGTTGGTACATGCTGTTTTCATTGAAATAACTTTTATCCTTCTGGAAATTATACTGCAAAGTGTTCAAAAAGATCTTGAAAGAGAGTGATGTATACAAATAAACAGGATAATGCCTCCCCAGCAGTTGGCAGAATTTCACAGAGTCCTACATCATGGCTGTGTCAATTTGTCTTTGTGATAGGGGTAGATTCTACCCACTCCAGATTTAAATCAGAGAGGATAAAGCTCAGACATCTAATGGCTGATGCACATTCTCTGCACAGTTACTGGGTATTAAAGGGAGTCTGTTCCTATCCAAATGCTGAGAGAATGACTGAACTGGACATCTAAATGGCTGCATCAGGAATTGAAAACTGAGGACATGAGGAGCTGGATCCCAATCCAGCAAAACAAATACTTGGAGTGCAAGTAAACCCTAAGAAATCTTGAAAGAAGAATTTCTGGGGCTAAATGGTTGCCTGATTTCAGATCTAATGGGCCAAAACCATGTAGCTTAGGCTGCAGAACAATGGGCTCCTTCAAAATCATCAACATTTTCTGTTCCTTAAGACCATGTTCCTTCTTATTACTGTCAGCTGGAGAGGGCAGGTGGGTGTCACCTCTTCTACATGTGGATGAAGCCTCAGGTAGCATCCCATCATGCTGAGCTCACCACACTTGTAGAGCATTCATCTGCACCTTGGAGCATCAGCACCAAGTACCTGTGACATTGAGGAGCTAGGAAGGCAATGGGCACAACAGAGAGAGATTGGGCAGTAGAGGGCAACAGCCAAGAAAGTGGGAACCAAAACATGGTTATATCCTGTCAGTGTTGGCCTCCTACAAAGAAAAAATGAGGAGTCCCAAATCTGGCAGCAAACATTGTTCAAAGCTATTCCCTCCTGACCTCCTTTCTAGGCTTTGGTACTGCTTGATGACAAGAGAAGGGCAAATCACCACATTTAGGCAAGGTAATAAAGGACAACCAACTCATGCAAAATGCTGCAGCCTGGATGGTAGCCCACACACTTCAGAGATTAGCTGAAGCTCTGAAAAGCAATTTGAGTAACTTCCTTTGATGTACCATCTGGTGAATAATTTACTGGGAATGTCTTAATCACATCAAAGGTATCTATCAATGTGCTCAGATTTTCTCAGTGTTTAAGACTCTGCCTGTGTATTGTGCTCAAGGAACAGACATAATAGTACAGAATTAAACTTTACTGCAGTACTCCCACAGTAATAAAAAAAAAATCTGCAGCATATTACCAGTATGGCCTCAAGGACTAGGTTTAGGAAGAGCAATATTTCACTGCTACCTCAAAAAGGCTGCTACTCTGCAATCAGCCTTGCTCATGTTTCCAAAAATTTATAAAATAGACACACATCTGTGGCATAAAAAATGTTAAGAAGCACATCTCCCTATTCAGAGGGCTTATTGGCAGGGTTCTCTAACATCAATCACATGGGTTTAGACCCAGAATAGATTTAGACTAGATCTAAGGAAGAAATTTTGTGCAACTAGAGCAGTGAAACACTGGGACGGGTTTCAAGAGATGTTGTGGATGCCCCATCCTTGGAAACATTCAAAGTCACATTGGACAGGGCTCTGAGCAACCTGATCTAGTTGAAGATATTTCTGCTTATTGCAGGAGGATTGGACTAGAAGGCCTTTGAAGGTCAACCCAAACCATTCTATGTGTCTATGACATGCATTTGTCATACTCCAAATGGGAGTACTGCAATTACTTCTTCCCCTCCCTAAATATTGGGACTAAATTGGGGTCATATAAAAAAAAAAAAACAAACCCTAAGTGAACAAACTAAAAACCCTACAAAACTTACTGGCTATTAAGTAGCCAAAGCCTGAACACCCCTAAAAGCCAAGGCCAGATTATACTTATTTGCATGTGCCAGTCCTGTCTTGATGCTTAGGTGCTTTAGATTGCGTTATCCTTCAGCATCACTCCAGCACACCCTGCGCAGCTCACTCACTGCTTTGCTGTGCTGACAGGACCCCGCAAAGCCCCGCGAACGCCCCCGGCCAGGTGCTCACGGCAGGCGGGTCCGCAGGAGGTCGCTCCGGCGAGGGGAGCGACTCCGGCCCCGGGATCGCGCCCCCGTGGGCTGCTGACACGCACCCACGCCCGCCCGCAGCACCCCCCGCCGGGCATCCCCGCCCCTCCGCATCCCCTCCGCATCCCCGCCGCTCCCCGCTCCGCATCCTCGCCCCGCCCGCCCCGCCCCGCGGGCTGATTTACGGCTCTGCTGAAAACGCCGCCCCGCTGCCGCTACCAGCAACAAGTCGGGTGAGTGCGGCGACCTTGTGGGCGGCCGAGGCCCGCGCCGAGCCGGGGCCCGGCGCCGCTCCGCTCCGGCAAGGCCCGGGCGGCGGCCGAGGCGAGCGGAGCCGCGCCGAGCGAGTGCAGCCGGCGGGGCCGTGCGGCCGGAGCGCCGCGCCGGGCGGGCGCGTCCCCGGGCGGAGATGGCGCGGTACCCCTGAGGAATCGCCGGGAAAGTTTCCCAAGTTGCCCGTGGGGCGCGGACGCGGGCCGTTCCCTCCGGCGAGGAATGCAACAGACAGCCCGGGATGAAGGCGGGCACCCGTGGCCAGAGCCGCTCGGCGGCGTCAGCCTCCCCTTCCGCTGCCCGCGATGCGGCGACCACACCAGGTTCCGGAGCCTGTCCTCGCTGCGGGTGCACCTGGAGTACAGCCACAGCTTCCAGGAGAGCAGCCTCCTGGCCAGGAGCAGCCTGTTCTCCCCGCTGAAGGACGCGGAGCCGGTGTCTCCGCCGGAGCCCGCAGCGCAGGGCAGCCCGGGCAGCCCCGGCGGCGTTGCCGCGCAGCCCGCGGGGCCCTACCTGAACTTGGGCGGCGCGTCCTGCGGGAGCGGCAAGGGCGAGCAGCCGCGGGAGCTGGCGGCCGAGCGGCCCGGCTCCTTCCTGGCCAACTATGTGTCGGCCGAGTCTCCCAGCGAGCTTTCCAAACCCGGCCTCTCGGCCGCTGATTCCAAAGCCTCCTTCGAGGCACACGTCAGAGAAAAGTTTAACAGGATGGTAGAGGCCGTGGACAAAACGATCGAGAAGCGGATCGACAAGCTTACCAAAGAGCTGTCCCAGAAGACGGCGGAGCTGCTGGAGGTGCGGGCAGCGTTCGTGCAGCTGTCCCAGAAGAAGCAGGAGGTGCAGCGGCGAGAGCGGGCCCTGAGCAGGCAGGTGGATGTGGCGGTGGAGATGATCGCAGCCTTGAAGCAGCGGCTCAACGAGTCCGAGGAGGAGCTTCACCGCAAAGAGGAGTAAGTGGGGAGGCGAGTGCCGATGGCTTGGCGAGGGCTGGCCAGCTCCTGCGTGAGTGACAGCCTTTGGGGGAGAGGAGAGGGAATGGCTCAGTTGCTTGCTGATTGTGAAAGGGCCTGGAGCTCACCGCTTCAGATCACTATATTGCTGGAGTTATAGCCATGTGACCGTGTCCCCTGCAAGGCAGTGGACAGCTCCCTGAGCAGGTGGCTTTCAGCTTGGCTCCCCAGTGACTAACAGGGCAGGGGACAGCTCCCTGAGCAGGTGGCTTTCAGCTTGGCTCCCCAGTGACTAACAGGGCAGGGGACAGCTCCCTGAGCAGGTGCCTTTCACGCTTGGCTCCCCAGTGACTAACTTCCTCACTTTCTAAAGCCTGTGTTATGCCTCTGGTTTCATGGGGGTAGGGACAAGTAGAAGCTCTCATCAGCATGTAATGTGATTTAGACTACCACCTTTAATGCATTGTCTTTTTAAGAAGAGATGGGTGGATAAGTCTGGATGAAGTGTGCAAGAATACCTAATAGCACCTTTTCCTTTAAGCCTTCTCACCATGGTCAGCCTGTGGAGTGCACAGTCTCCTGTGCATCAACAAAGCTTTACTGGAGATAGTGTTGAAAAGGCCATGTCCAAGTAGTTAATGTCTAGTTTTTTAGATGGACACAGAACTGTGGAACAGGAATTGCATATATGGGATTGGGAAGCAGATGCCAGAGTTCTGACTAACCTAAGCCATCTAAAAATACATTCATGATGCATCCATTAAAAATGTAGTGATAGCTGATATATAATTTATACATGAACTACTTAGTTTATTCAGCACTTGCTGAAACCTTTCAGGCTTTTCAAAGCAACACAACTTATTTTAGAGAAATGGAAATAAAGAGCCTTGGTAATGGTATGCCTCTAAACCAATTCATCAGCTTACAAAAGGAAGATGAGAAGTGGTAGTTGCCATGACACTGATCTTACAAGAAATAAGGAAGGTGGTGTAGGAGTTCAGTGTAGGAAGTTTGGAGGGCTTTCATCATTCCTTCCTGTAGTCTAAGGACAAGAAAGAAAAGATGAGGATCAGTAGCAGCCATCTATCTTGAAGCAGAGCTAGAGATTTTCCAGAAGAGAAGATAAAGGAGGTGGGATTTGAGCCTCTCAGATCTTCCTTGAAGGGATATTCAACAGAACCTCTGATTTTAAAGTATGAGGTGATCCTCATGGAGGAGAAGATTGAAAGACTTAAGGTGAAGCTAAAGCTGAATAGTGTAACTGAGGCAGATTTGAAAGTATGCTGGAGGGAAGCTATGAAGATAACATAGTTTCAAGCAGTTTTGGTATTCCCATCTAGCCAGACTGCCCTCCTGGGCTCTTTCACAGTGAGTCGTCCTGTTTCCTCTAGAAAAGTATCTTAGAGCGGGAGGGATTGCTCTGTGAAGGTCCTTCCCTCTGCAGACTACCAGGAGACCTCAGGTAAGCAGCTGTCTTAGGCTAGGTGCAGAATTTCAGATATCTCAAGTTCAGTGGCATGAATCTTACCCCAAACTAAAGGCAGACTGTGTTTTTAAAAATCAAGACTAGGATCTCAAAAGGAAAAAAAAATGACTGTTGGGAGAAAGAAACCATTCAGTGGGACAAACCCAAAGTTCTGCAGTGCTGTAGAAGAAGAAAAGACCTTGTGGGAAAAGAGGAAAAGGGCAGTTGAGTCATCTGGGTAGAAAGAATGGGTATGATGTGGGAGGATGGCAAAGGACACTGATCTTTGGAAAGAAAAAGCTGAAGTTGTGATTTTTAACTGTATTAGGAAAAGGCACAAGGAAGAGGCACATGCTCTTTGGCAGATTACTTACCAACAGCACTGTCAGGCTGGTGTTCTGAGGCCAGAAGAGACTGAACACAGAATGAGAAGTGGGAAAACATTGTCCTTCACATTGGGACATTGCCAGGCTCGGGAAAGGGGCAGGAGCTCAGATGATTGCTGTTACAATTCTTGTCTTGAAAGGAGGAGAGTGAATGCATAAACAAATGATGAGGTAGCTCCTAAGTTGATGTTACAGGGAAGGCTGAAGGTTACTTGGCTAGAAACATGAACCAAAAGAGGCAGCTGCACAAGAGACTTCACAGAGTACTCACAGAATACTTCACAGAGTGTTGCTCTTTAGGGTTTTGCTTCTACTTTCAACAAAAAGCCTTGAAAGCAAGTGCAGCAATAGGAATGAGAGAACAGCTCTTACACAGCAGTGTGTTAACTTCTACAGGTAAATGTGTAATGCATGGCGGTGGCTAGGATGGAAGAACAGCAGCTCTGAGTACCAAGGGGCAAGAGGGCAGTCAGAATTTGTTGTTGCCTGTGTCTGTGCCCAGCCCCACAGCATTGCCTCTGGGGTTACTCTGAGGACACTGGGAGGGTAGGCAGGGTAAAAGAATAGGTTGAATTAACTTAGGAAAAACTGGAAGCGTGTTGGGTTTTTTTCTCATTTGGATGATTCCTGCATTTCCCATCTTGGGGGATAACAAGGCATAGTGCCATAGAAAAATGCACTGGTTGTCTTTCCAATTGAAAGGTCATTGTATAATTAGCAAATTGAGAAGAAAGGTAGGTATAAAAAATGCTTTGTAAGAGCAGGACTGGTAGTTCTAGAGCAGCTTTTCAGAGCTGATTCTCTAAAATGCCTGGGACAGTTAGTTTTACTCCAGCAGCAGGGAGACACTGGGTGATGTGCTCTAGTAGAGAAAAAGTTCATGACTTTGGTAACAACAGTGGCACTTGTCTGGCTTTCTCATGGGCTGTTGGTAAACTCTGAGACCTGCCTATATATTCAATCCTTTGTGTGTTCTAAACTTACTTGGTGTGCTGAGAATACATTGTCCTTCAAAAAGGAGGATCTCAACTTTGGCTTTGATTTCTGGAAGAGATCCAGATGATTAGAAAGCCAAACAAGACTGCATAATGGAAATTGCAGAAGCAGTTCTCACTGCAGATTGTGGAAAGTCAAAGGCATCCCTTAGGGACTGCTTCGATACTTGCTGACCTTCAGAAATAAATGCTTTCATCAGTTTCTTTGGATTTTTTTTTTCCATAAGCAATCTTGTGAATATGGATAACTTTTCCTAAAATAGCATTGGTATTGAGCTAGTGTAGCTGAAAATCTTTTCCTCTTAGCAGCAGAAAAAAGAAAACACCTTCCCTGAAACATCTGAATGTTGGTTTAGACCATCAGCAGGAGCAGGGCTGCCCATTTGAAGCACTTGTAGGATCAGTGGGGTTATTTCTTTAGCCTTGTCAGTTGATTATTTTTTGTTTGTTTTAAATAAGGCCTTTAGCAGTCCAACAAAGACAGCAATGAAGTGAAGATACCTTTTTAGTTAAATGTTCTTTGTTTCCTTACAAAAACTTCAGTGCCAATATGCATGCTGATACTGGTGTGAGGCCCTCGTGGAGGTGAACTCTGTTGAGGTGTAGGACAGCTGACTGTAGGAGGTACAACACTGACTATATTAATATATAGCTGAAATAGTATTACTCTAAGCACAGAGCTGCTGAACAAAGGAATTATTTAATTAGAAAATGTGCCCTGAAAGGGATTATTCCATGTTTGATGAAGGAGAATGCAACTCACAGTGAGCGCTGTGATCTTAAAGATAACACAGAAGCATGCCCAAAGGGCATAAGATTTTGTTGAATAAGATATCAAGAAAACCATTGAAACAAAAACCAGCTATGAACTTAACTGCCAGAGGACACCGAGAGGCTTGTTTCTGGATGTAATGTAAGAAAATTGAAACTGGTAGAGTTTGATTTTCAGGAAGTTTGAAGAGGGTAAGAAGGGATGGTCTTTGGCTGGAATCTACCTTCAGTGGTAACTTAAACAGCTTCACTTTATCTCCTAATCATAGATAAGATCATTAATGTTGTACCTTGCCATATCTCTGACAGTCATTTCTCTAACCAGTCTAATGCATTTGTTTTGAGACTGGCCATGCCTCTGCTTTGACATAGCCTGGAATGCAAGGATTAATTCAGAATAGCTGTTGTGGGCAGTAGTTATTCTTGCCAGTGGCTTCACCTTAAGTTTGCAATTAATAAAATTATCTGTGCAGATAACATCTTGACAATGGCATTAAGATCTGGCTTTTAGACATCACTGCAATTTGTGCTTTAAAACAGCTTTCCCTTTAAAAGGGGTTTCAATTGTACCACAAAACAGTTTTGATTTGCTTTAAGCAGAGTACAACTGCAATTACACATTGTTCTTCCACCCTCAGTTTTAGGTAATCCTGCTCCCTCTTTCCTGTTTTCTTTCATCTTCCTACTCAAGAGATTACTCCCCCCCATGCAGCTGCACAGGTTTAAGCCCAGCATGACTGTCCCACAGAATGGCTCTGTGAAATAAAGCTTAAAATCTTCAGTGTCACCCAATAAATTCAGGGCTCTGTCTAGAACACAGCCCACTGAATGGGTACAATAACTCTCTGAGGGAGGAGGTGTGAATCTCTTAAATCAAATGTGCTTTTAGTGGTGTGGTAATGTGAAACCACAACCTAATGAATAACAGCAGCCTTTAGGCAAAAACACCAGTTGGGTGATGGATAAGGTCAGTGGCATTAATACTTAATGAATATACATATTAAATATTTTGAGCAGTAAATCACTTTACTACTTACTGTGATAGGAATTTTCCCACCTTCAGGTAAAACAATGGTTTGGTTTTCTATTGATTTTAGACAGAGTTATGCTAAATGTGATTGTCTAAAGTGATTTGATATTGGATGCAAAACCTGCATGGAGCCTTGTGCTTATCTCGACCTCCAGAGCAGCTGCAGGTGTCAGTGTGGCTGTGCACAGTGCTGGGGCCAGTGCTATGCATCCGTGGGAGGGCTTGCTTGCAATGTGAGAACTCATTAGCCCTTCTTGTAAGGTGTTAAGGAGCTGGAGCTGTCCCACCCTCTGCATTTAGTCAGTGTATGTCACTCTTAGCTGCTGAAAGTCATAAAAACACTGAGCATCTCCCAGGATCCCTGTGCTGCCAACTGCTCCAGTAAACAAGAACTGCAGCTCGCTCATCCTAAAGGAGAGCTGAATAATCCAGTGGTAAAGGCAGAAGAATAAATGTCACCTAGTCAGCCTATGATTTATAACTTTATTTACCACATCTCAAGTTGTTTCATGGCAACAGCCTCCATAAAGAAGTTTTTGGGCTAGGCGGCAGTTGGGATGCAAAATGCCAAACTACTTAAGTCTAGTTAACTGTAACAGGTGAACTGCCTGGCAGAGTCAAATTAAAATAAAAGCTTTGGCAGCAAGCCTTACTTACAGTGAGTTCTTCTCCCTCCACTTGTTTTTTCAGCTGAACACCTCTGAGGTGCTTGCTGTACTACAGTAAATTTCCCCTGGACTCCTCTGGCTTTCAAAGAACTCCTTTCTGACACTCTGGCAGTACAGGCATCTCCTGCTCCTCTTGGACACCTCCCAGGTTGCATCCCCCTTGTCTTTCCCTCTCACTTGTCTCATCCTGCTGCTGGCAGCTCAATACAATCCCTGCTCTCCAGGCAGCAGGAGCAATTCCCTCTTCCTAAAGGTTTCATCTGACAGAGCATCCCCCAAGACAAAGCAAGAAATCCAGTTTTCTCCCTGCTGCCCAGTCACAGCCCTGTAAATACTTTGCATACACTATGCCTTAGTGTTGGAATAGTGAACTATGAACAGATGAGATTACAGAAATGTAAGAGCTCTAGGGTGCATTGAGCATCATCTACCCCACTCAGAACATACAGTATCAGGAGCTGTTGCTCACCCCTGTAAGCAAGTGCCAGGGTGCAGAGCTGGGGGAAGGGGGCAGGAGTCTGCTGGGCAGAGGAGCAGAGCAGTAGAGAGATGATGCTGAGAGCAGAGGAGCTCTCAGGGGGAGTTAATAACTCCATGGAACCTTTCCTCAATATAACAGAAGTGCTCCAGATGTAGAATAGTCAGTGCAGGGTAGCAGAGAGACCTCTTGTGAAAAGGGCAACACCTCAGGTGTGAGCCACTTTAACAAAGTTGTTCCAGTTTCAGGTGAGTGCTGCTCACAAGGCTGTGCTGTCAGGACACAGAGCCCAGTGGGCCCATGCTGCTGTGCTCTGGTTTATGCCCCTACCACGTGGGCCCCACAATATTAATGGCTTCAGCTTCCCCCTGACTTCATGAAGAGCAGTGTCAGACCTCTGTGAACACCCATCTTTCCACAAGCATGAGAGTAGAGAGTGAAAGACAAGAATCCTGTCATATAATCCTCAAAAATCCGGCAGAGGTCTGGAGAAATAAATTTAAAGTAAAATAAAGAGTATAAGCAAAAAAAAAAAAAAAAAAAATCATCACAGATATCCAGAAATAAAATTGAAGGGAAAGGGTCCTCATTATGGTTAAGAAAAAGTCTGGGCAAACTACAAGAGACAAGAAGGGCAATTAGACAGATAAACAGCAGCTGCAGGAAGCTACAGGAGTTCTTTGAACCATTTCCTTATTGTTCACAGTGGGAGGAGGCTAAAAATTCTTCTGGGAACTCCCTTCAGGTAACCAAGGCATAGCTGGGCAAGGAGTGAGCTCTCTGAGGAAGAAGTGTTGGAGCAAGTAGAGAGACTTATTAGCAGTCACTCCTCAGGGCTTGATCTTGTTCTTCTGAGAGATGAGAATGAAGTGGAAACAAAGAAAGTAGCTGAACTAACAGAAGTGCTGCTTATCAGTGCAAGGTGTGTGACAGAGCCCTGGTGTGTGGGTGTGTTCTGGCTCCTGGCTTTCCAAAGGGAATTTACAGAGTGCATTTCAGCCCCAAGGAAAACTTTCAGATTAAAGTTATTAAAGGTAGATTCATAGGCTGTACAAAGGCAGCTAAACAGAGGGAAGTTTTGGGTATGCTACTAATGCTGTTAATAACAGTTCTTACAAATAATGGTATGTAGGATGCCAAGCTATCTTTAGTCTAGAAAGCAAGGACAATACTAGGGAGTTTATTGACATTATGAGTCTCTTTTCCTCCTGACAGTCATCTAGATCTTCCTGAAAACTCTGTCCCCCCTGGCCTCCTTATGGTATATTAATGAGACATTTGTAGGAAAGGAAAATCTCTTGGTGATTATTTGTGCCATAGAACATGCAACTAATGAATTCTTACTAATTACCTTTGCTGACATAATTACAAATGTTAGCATTCTTGAAATGATCACTCTTTTAAAAAAATGCCAGCTACTCATGTTTGTGGCCTCCTGCTGCAGCCAAACTCAGAAGCTGACTGAGTCCCTGGGAGGGACATCCTCATGGTGTCCCAGGCTGGCAGCTCCCCACTCTCCCACCTTCCCACTGGGTGGTCAGCAGCCTGCCAGGCTGTGCACAGCTCTTCCTTACCCAAAAGGAGAGGGATTTGGAGCCAACCTGCTGAGTTGCTGTCCTCTTGAGCTCCTTGTCCCCTGTAAAAGAGGACCCTGATGAAACAGCAAGGACTTCAGCTGCTCCTACATTAACCCAAAATTATATGAACTGACTAATGAAGTGAAGTTAATCATAAGTTATGAAGTCAAAGAAGTTATAGTGTGGTGACAATGAAGTCCTAAAATTTACTTTAATGAGTTTAGATTGGCTTCTCCCTAAGCATTCCTTAGTGGCTCTCTAGAATCAGGTTGTTCTGGGCAATCTAATGATCACTAAACTGTTCAGAGCCTTGAAATGAAATGGATTAGCTGAGTTTAACAAACAAGTTACCTCTCTGTTTCTTAAGCCAGATTTTATGGGTGAGTTAGTATAAACTATTACTCATCCACATTCTTCATCCAAACAATACATGCTTGTTTTTACCTGTATCCTGCCATTAGATCAGCCATGCAAACAGAACTCTGCTGGAGTATGGAGCAGGCAGGCACAGCCTGAATCCTAGGTGGTGAATTTCCAGGGCTGACCACTCATGCTTGACTCTTAGCACAAAGCAGCTCACTGTTGAAACAACTGCACTCCATTAAACCAATTAACTACAACTATGCTGAGTTAAAACAACAAAATGCAGAGAAACTTTGGATTTGTTATAAACAATCTAAGCTTTGAAAGGTTATTTCTGCCACAAACTGTTTCATAGTTTCTACTTAAAATCCTTTTTCCTCAGGCAATGTATTTCTACTGAGCAATCATGCCCTTTCTCATTTGGCAAGTTCCTTCAACTCCCACCCTTTTTGTACAAAGCAAAAAATAACATGGTTTCACTGGCAGAGTAAAAAATATTTATCCAGGCATTTATTAAACAGGGAACTGCTACATGTTCAGATTTGTCTTCTTTTGTAATACATGCTTCAATCTACAACCAAACTTCTTCCACCCAAATAATCCTTTGGTATTAGAGGTCCAAGTGGTGTCCTGATTACTGATAGTAAGTGTGCAGAGAACTTAGAAATGAGCAGTGGCTCAGCTGAGAGCTTTCACAGTCACTGGTGCTCTCTGTTTCTTCCACTTGGGTTACCAGACAAGACACATTCCTAAACTCCTTACCTAAAACTTGTTCTTCCCACACATGTGTTCCCTGCTCTATAATCTGTAGATTATCTGTTAATCTCCCATGCTCCCTCTGCCTCCAGGTCATAACACCACACTTGGACATTCTTGTAGTAATGCAGTCAAAATTAAATTTAATGGCCACAATAGTTCTTTTGAGTTAGAAACCAACCCAGCAGCAACATTAAGTGACCATTGTTAGATTGTGATGGAATGAAAAGATTAATTTGGGAGTTCATCTGTTTCTCTTCACATTTCAGAGCTAATATTCTCATAAATAAAAAAAGAGAAAGCAGATACAGCTGTCTCCAGATACTTTGAGATGTGATGCTTAATCATATTTCTGCTTTGTGGGCCACTAAAGACTAATTCCAAGAGACCAAATGAAGTGTAAAAACCCCACCCCAAACCCGCTGCCCATAAACCTAAATTCAGCATTCAGGCTTCCAGATCTTCACTTTGTCCACAAAAAAGTTGAAATCTTTTGACAGTGGTGGAGGACACGCCATGACAAACTGGAGAAGCACCAGTAATTTTTGACAATGGTGAGACCAGAGAGCTGCTGTTATCTAAACGTGGCCTCTTTGCAATGTTTCCATCTTGCAGAGAAGTTGTTACTTTCAACCACTTCCTGGAAGAAGCAGCAGAAAAAGAAGTGCGGGGGAAAGCCAGGCTGCAGCACTTCATCGAGAACCTGTTGCAGCGCGTGGATCTGGCAGAGAGGCAGCTGGAATATTACCAAAGCCAGCAGATGGTGTGCAACCACACTGACATCAGCGGGCACGTGGTAAGCCAGCACAGCCCTTCCCTTTGCCATCACCCTCCCCCTGCAGCCAGACTTGGGTTATGGGTGGGCTCAGTGGCTCAGGCTCACACTGCTGCAGGCAGATGTGCATTTGTGAAAGCAGCAACAGCCAAAGATGATAAAGGGAGAGCAGAGAGTAATGAAATGTTTGATAGATATTTAAAATATTTCCAGCTTTGGCTATTGCTGCTGTTGCCTTTGCCATGAACACTTTTTTAATGTGACTTGGCAGTCTTTTTGGGATGCCTGAAGATTTTCAGGAAAGACATAGATCCCTACAGGTGATACATCAGCTTGCTGGCAAATCGTCTTTCCTCTGGTAGTTACCTATCATGGGACTCTTAGAAATGGTGAATGGATTCCCACAGGCCTGTATCACGTGGATTATAAATCCAAGAACATTACTTTTTAAAATACATTATTTCTCTTAAAGCCCTCATTTTTGATACCTAAACTCAGTATTTTCCTACAATGCAGTACATTAATATGCCAAGTTTTAGGCACAGGACTTGAAGGAACATTTCAGTTTAATTGAATACCCCATGCTGCCTGTGCTAAGTAGTTGCTCACCCTGGCATGTGAGAAGAAGGCATGTGATCATGCCCAGCACTGAACAGGTATGCAGTGGTGGAAGGGAAATGTTCCCAGAGCTACTTGGAAGACAACAAGCTTTAGGTAAGATGAGCTGAAATGCAGTGCAGCCATCTCAGACAGAGTCTGTGAGAAGATTATGGGGCACTGTACAGATGGGCCTCAATATTAAATCATCTCTCTTGTTCTGGATGTGTTTATCATAATGCCAGGCTCAGCAGTGTCCCTTGGGGAGGGCTCTGATTTTTAAGGTACCTGCCCTGATTTCTGGGTGACTTCAGCATTCCTCTAAGGCCATCCATCCAAATATTGACCATCCTGACCTTCAGGGGATACAGGAAAGTCCACCATGAGATGGCTCCAGACACCAACCAAGACAGATGATAAGCAAAATCAGGCTGGGCAAAAATCCATCTGCAAAGTGTGGACAACACCAGGGACAGAAGAAACATTTACAAGAACGTAATAATTTTCAGATGCCAAATCTGACTTACTTGTCTCAGTGACTTCATTAAATGATATTCAAAGGTTCAGTGTAGCAGCTCTGATGAGAGCTCAATACAAAGAACCTATTTAGTCCAAAAAAAAAAAAAAATCAATTTAAGCTGAGCTGGCATTAAACACCTCCTTTTCTGACCCCCACCAAAAGAGGGACTAGACAAAGTGTTTCCATACTGTGAACCAAACTGCTGAAAAAATGAAGCCATGCAAATTTGGCCTGGCATTGAAGCTATGCTGTCCTTAGCTGGTCTCAGGACTTGCAGCAGGGGGAGAGCAATGTTTGTGTCCTCACCCTCTACCCTTCAGTGCAAGTCTGGCAGAGCCAAGGGCTTGTAGCTGGAGTTTCCTAGCCACTTGTGTAAAGGAAATGTATCACTGAAATGTATCACTGAAAAATTAAAGGATCTGAGAGAAAGTTAATTTCATACAGCTTATTTAGCCACTGGCCTTTATTAATTATCTTGAATGCAATAATTACTTCTCATTGTATCCATACTGTTTAATCTAATGTGAAAGGTCTCTGTTCAGCCCACACTTCTTTAGCAATTTACTTTGATTATAGTTACAATAAAAATAATGGGAAAAATCCAACCACTAGCAACTCACACATTATGAATTTTAAAACCATGTTCATAAGATGGAAGAGTAATAATCTGTAAAAGAGGTGACTTTTTTGGTTTGTTCCCTAAATGTTCTAGTTCAACATGTGAGAATGGAAATACAATTTTAAAGATTGTGTATATTTTATCCTTGTACATTCATTACTTGAAAATGTAATAGTAATAACCTGGTTTTGTTTTCATTGCAGTTTACAGACATTTCATTAAATAAGAAACCCAGATGCCTGTATGTATATCTCCTTTTTTTTTAACTTAAATGCAATAAGTTGACATGCTTGCATTTCTGTTTTTACATTTTACCTTATAGGTTGGGACTTGCATATGGTCTCTATTTATGTAATGTAATTGAGGAAAACCAGATTTCTGCTGAAACTAAACTAAAATCAGATATTCTCTAAAGAAAATAAAGAATGCTAATTTTCTGTTAAACAAATTACTCCTTCCTCTGACTATAATAGCCTGTTGCAAAGCTGCCGGAGTTGAATCTCTGTCTCACACAAATGAAGTTGAAGTTGAAAATATCTTTAACATTCTGTAGGTAGGAGAGAGACAGTTGTCATTTCCTAACTGACAGTAACAATCATATCACCAAACAAGTGCCCTGACCAAGCATGGGCACTGACAATCTCAGGTTACTCAAGCAGCTGTCCTGGGAGCAGCAGAACGAATTGGGGTTGGTCTCCCGTGTCTTTGTGACTTGGTCATGAGTCCCAGCAGGTGGTTTGGAGCACCACGTGCTGCATGGCCAAGTGGCAGCCAGCACTGCACCCCTCTTCAGGGCAGCCTTTCCTTGTGGGGACACAAGTTCAGGACTTTTTCCCATTGCACCACCACAAGTCCTTGTCCATAACACAACAGATTAGGAATATGTGTGAGGAGAAGTTCAGACTCTCTACAGTCACTTATGTTGCAGAGCTGCTGCTTTCAATGAAAAAGTATTTCCTGCATCTGGAGCTGGCAGCTTTGCCTTTCACATGCATCTTCCTCCATCTTGGGTACTTTCTTACCCTGACTGTGAACTGGGGACAGACATCCATCTTCTCTACCATAAAGTTCAATTTAAGTACAGTTTAGCCCCTTTAGGTAGCCCCTGAGATGATATTGACCTTGACCTTCTGGTTTTAGTAGCTTCATTCAGTGCAGCAGGGGACTGCCTAACATCACCTGCAATAATGCCTGTGTATGCTTTGGGAATAAATGATGTTGCTTCTTCACCATAACAACATCTGAGAAAAACAGACCACTGCATCTTTAAACAACAACTGAGTAATGGACTGGAAAAAACAATTCCCAAGAATTGATGGTAAACTGGAGTGGCCGCTCCAATTTACACAGGTCATTCCTAAACCCCAGCAAGTGGTCAGAGCCCAGGCCTGCACCAGGCCAGGATGACACAGTGCCTGCAAGCTCCAGCTTGGACCTGCACAGCATTTCACCCCCTAAACCTCCCCCAGTGAAATCTGCTTAGCAAAGCTGCCGAGCAGGTAATGCAGTTACATAGGTCAGGCTTAGTTCCTACAATGACAGGTGGCCCTCACTGCCTCCTGCCAACAAGTACAGACTTCCATGACACACTTCTCCTCTTCCTAAAGAGCAGGAGGGTTTACACTGTACACACATGAGTAACCACAGCTTTTCTCACAACTGGCTTCGTCAAGCATGCAATATGATTTAACTCCTAGAAGAAATAATACTACACATACATGGTTTTCAGAAATAACAGGCTATGGAAAATAGCCCTGTGGGATCCCTTAAGAGATCAGCTTGTACATCAGCACATCTGCTCTTCACTTCAGCCACAGGAGCTGGTGCCTTACATTCATAGTTCTGCTGTTACACTAATGTATCTGCTGTAAAACATTTCAAGATTATGTTAAAAGGGACTATCATAATCTTAGCTAAACTGTGGAACTGCAGTTTTGATGTAATATTTCAGAGTGCATGGTTCAGCCTTTGCAGCACTGGGCACTTAGCTGTCACTCCACCTCAGCTCACCAATTTCTGCAAATCTTGCTGGGTTTGAGCCAACACAGAGAGAACAAAGAGTTCAGCTTACTTTGGCCTTTAAGCTTTCATACCCTTCTTCCCACCAGTTTCTGTATTCCCCTTCCTTCTCCTGTTTCAAATCAAAGCCTAAAAGGGAAGCTGAAGTTCCCTGGATGTGTGGTCAGCACAATGGCAGAGCATGGAGGTTCCTGAGCTATTGGCCATTTGTAGCAGCAGCTCCCTGCGGCCTGGGCGCAGTCCAGGGCAACACTGAGATTCCACAAAGTCCCTACAGTTCCTGCACCTTCTTTCTACTCTTACTGGTGCTGTGTGGTCTTCCAAAGACCAAGGGATGTTCATTCTTTGCAAAATGTGAACATGTGCATCTTTAAAATCCCTGCAGATCACCAAGTATAGACCTCAGTAAAGTCTCAGCACTCCAAAATCAGCAGAGTGCTGATCAGAATCAAAGTGCAGATGAACACCCATGAAGAGTGCACCAGTAACACACCTAGGGGTTGTTTTAGTAAGGAATGCTTTTGAATACTAAGGAATGTAATTAATCTTACAACTCTGTTTTTAACATGCAGCCTCATTCTGTAAAACAAGACTATTTTTTGATTTTAAAAATGTAAGGGTTTGGGATATTTTGGGGACCTGTCAGTTTGCAAGACTGAATAACAATTATTAATAATCACTATTATTAATTTCAGGAGCCGAGGAAGTCAACACACTTCATACAACATCCCTGATGCAAAGCCTCATTCCTTTCAAAAAGGAAGGATCTTGTTGAAAAAAGCAAAGGATGAAAACGCCAGTTTGCAGCCAGTGAAATGCTTCTATGAACCTGTTGATTGCCCAAGAGAAATATGGAGAGCACAAAAGAAGGGTGAGCCAGTCTGCTCTGCCAGGAAAGTGAGTGCAAAATCAAAGATGGGTAAGAAGGCCAAGCCACTATAGGAACGGTGAGCAGTGTACAGCAGCACAGGAACTTGGCTTCAACACAGCAAATATTGAATGAAGTTAATCATCCTACTTTTTTCCTATCCATCTGGCCATGCCAAAACATATCAGATATAATATATAGAAATATATACATATGGAAGTTTTATATTATTTAGTTATGCCATTCCCTCTTTGGGCGCTATAAAAGAAGTGACATTTTATTCAGTTTACATGGAGGTTTTTCTGTTTATTAATGTATTTATTTATTTATTTAGTCATTTATAGAGCTTATTTTAAATAACCGTAGTTATCTTGCTGAGCAGTACTGTGGCTGTATGTTTAATTATTTTAGTGGCAGCATGGTCTAACCAACTGGTAAATTATTTTCCATCTGTGTTATTCCTGAAGCTCAGAGGAATCCATTTAATCGGCACCAAAATATTCAATCTTCCAGCTTAGGTAGGTGTGAGATCAGTGACTAACAGATACTCAGATGCAAAAGACCTACTCAAAGTCCCTTGAAGCCATTTGCAGCACTAGATTGCTACCCTGGGTTTTGGCTATAAGCACATTTCCATCTTTTATTAAATACATCAAACTACTTGATCCTGCCAGCAGCCATGTTGTCTCTTTGGTCCAAGTTTGGGCTCCTCTGAAGTGTCCCTCAGCAAGGAGAGCAGGAGCTGCCCTGACACTCACAGGCCAAACTAGGCCAGAGGAGGAGTTCCAGTGCCAATGCCAGCAGCAGGAGATCATCAGCAAGTACAGGCTAAAGCAGTGTGGTACTGCCTGGCATTGTGTTCAATGTCTGTGCTTGGTCCCAGGCATGAGAGGCCCAAATAACCATGATTATAACCCAAATCCTTCACATTTTTATCTCTGAAGAATCTTTACAGGGCTGAGAGATCACTGACTTTGCACTAAGAACCCAAGTGCAAGGCAGTTGGAGATGACTGCAGAACACAAATGTGTGTGTTTACACTGGTTTGTGCCAATTAAAAGGATCCTTATTTATTAGAGAATTTATTTATCAAGATGACTTTTTTGTGTGTACAGTATTTTGGTAACATGAATCCTCATGCCATGTTTACAGATATAAACATCCTGATGATGTTACTGATGAGATTTGTTTTCTCAAGAAAGAGAAAGGATAGGTGACACAGGTCTGTGATTTATTTTTTAAATGCTCATAACAGATGTAAATTGTTTATGTGGAAGGTGATTTTTACAGTATGTGTACAAAGATTTGTGAAAAATGTTTTTCATTTTTTATAACTGTGTCTGTAAGCAGAACTGAGTATAAAAAGACAGTGTATCACTATGATTACTGCTGCAATAAGCACCTGAGTTGCAATATTTTTAAAGCAGAAGATGACCAGTCAGTCAGCTAGGATCAGGTAACTACAGATGTCATACATTTGTCAGTGTACAGAGCTCCCAGAAAGTAGCAGAGAGAAGAAAGAGTATTATTCCTCACTTTTATTTTAAATAGTGTATATGGAACAATCAGATGTATATTTAAAAGTTTCTCAACACTGTTTCAGTAGAAAGTCACAGTGTAAAACCAATTCAGGTATTTAGGTTGTAATGATATTTCAATATTTATTTAACTATGTCACAAGGCCACACTTGGCTTCATGCTAGGCATTGTGTGTGGTGAAAAGGAATTGTTCATTGTGTTGCATGGGCTTGGGTCAGATTGTGTGTTACAACAACTTTTATAGGCAAGCTAAAATGGAACCAGTTTTTTCTATTACTTCCCACATCCTTCCACAAACCTGAAAAAAGGACCTTCTTTGAAGATAACAAAGGTAAACATTAGAAAGATAATAAAGTAAAATATATTAATTCATTTCTTTAGCCTCTTGACACTGAAAGAATATTTTTATTTTTAAATGCCTATCTACTCTGTTAGTCACCAAAGTTAAGTGCAACTACTAGTTCACAAATGAGATGTTTATTTTATTATTTATCATGCCAAAATCTTGACTGTAAGTTTTCCTTTTGGGAGAGGAAGAGGAAAAAGAGTAAGAGAAGTTGCATGTTTTTAAACTTTTCAAAGCCTAATTTACACTTACTTGCTAAACAAATGCCAGTTTAGTTAATTAGAAAGAAATTGGATTGTACTGTAATCCCAGATCAAAGTTTTTAGAATATAAACATTCTAATAATAAAGATATATTTCTCAGTTACTGTGTCATTTAACTTTGTCAAATACATAGTTTCTTCCAAAAGCCTCTGAAGCAGCACAGAAAAAGCCAAGCAGCAGCAGCAGCTTGGAGTTGTTTTATCCCTGAGATGAAGCATGGCAGTGAAGTGGGGTTGTGACCCTTCCCAGCAATGAACCTGCAGGCAGCTGCTCCATCTTGCCTGCTCAGCTCACAGGTGTCACCTGCTGCTCTCCTACTGCAATGCTGCTTAAAATCATTCTGGAGGTGACCCACAGGGTCAGACAACCTGCCCAAAGCAGAGGCAGGGGGAATAGAGGGAAGGGTCAGGCACATGAAGGGCAGAGGGGCTCCCAGGGAATGGCAGTAATGATGTCTGCTCACACACTGCATGCTGCAGAGCCATCATTTCATCAGCTTAGACTTGGAAAAAGGGGTTTTCCCATGGGGAACCAGGTTCCTGTCTCATTAACAGAGACAATATTTGACAAGAACAGGCACCTGCACCAGGCTGAGTGTAACCAGCTTTAGCTTGTGAGGACTTCTGTAGTCAGGAAATGTCAATTTTATAATATTTTTTAAATCTGAAAATGTTCTGACAAAGTTGACCACTCACCTTTGAAAATCAATTTGAAGCAGAGTTACCATGTTTTGCCCTTTGAGACACTTTGAAGGCTCCTTGATAGGTTGTATGCTGACATCAAAGTGAATTTCATTAGGACCTGGATGCCTCATTCCCATATAAATTTTTAAAATCCCACCTCATTTATTACTAAAAATAGCTCAGAGCAGTGTATGTACTGGCTGGGCCTTTACAGGTGAGCTTTCTGCTTGAAACAAAATGTTCTGACAGACATATGACATTATAGGCCAGGAAAACAAGAGACTAATTGAAACACAGACCTTTAATTAGAGCTATACATAGAAAAACCCAATCACTTCGAGATGCTGCTGCCAGTTGAAGAGAGAGCATGTTTCCAGAGCACTTAATGACATCTGATCCCTCCCCCCAGCTCTGACTCAGTAGTAACAACAGCCTCTCCCTGCCCAGAGAAGATCTGAACACATTTTTTGTTTCAAGGAGAGTTCTGCAAATATTCAGTGGGATACTCATATTCAAAGAGATGGCCACCATTTAGGGCAGGTACTAGGTCAAACAAATCATCACTTCTATCATCCCTAATAATCCTTCCAATGCCACTGCCTCTTTCAAGCTACTTGAGCAAAATCCAGCTCTTCTCTCTCGTTATTCTGCGTCATCAGATAGTTGCCTCTATTTGTTCTTACCTCAGCCTAATGCTGATTGTTTCCATACATCCTGTCTGAAGTGGCTGGAGTGGACTATTTTGTGCTCTCTGCAGTGAGCCTGGGCATTATTTTTTATTGTTTTTTAGAAAAATTAATCCCAGAAGTGATTTTACTACATGAAGCTCTTAAAAATAGATCCTGCTGCAACACAAACAAAATGTCCTTTCCCATTTTGTTGCTAACGCCACCCTCTATCTAGCCATGCTTTTTTATTCTGATCTCTTGAGTTTTCATTTGTACATCTCTCTCTAAGGAGGAGAAACAAGCAACATAAATTAAATGCCGTTTTTGTTCTGACAAGCTTTTCTCCTCTCACTGCCTCGGTCCTAGCATCTCACACTGCAAGCAGGTAAAAGTTGGCTTGAATTTTTCATAAAATCATGGGAACAAGTATATACAACAGATTTTGAGTTCATTACTATTATGTTATGGAAGAGGCTCTTCTGAGCTGAGAGGGAAAGAGGAATAGAGATACTCCACTTCCTAGAGAAGTCACTTTCAAAGATAAATGTGACAGGTTGGAGGAATTGAGTGTGTGCTGGTGTGAGATGAGGGAAAGCCAGAGTCACATATAAGGCAGAGTGAAAGGATGGGGGCCTCATTACTGCCTGCTGTTTCTTAGGGGCTTTGACCTACAGAACATCAGCATAGATTCAGCCTGACACATTCAGTGCTCAAATCATGCTTTACACACGTTTTGCAGCCCAATTACTAATTCAAAGTAGTAGACTTTAGCACTAGGGTTTCCAAGAAATTCCCCAAACTCTGTTTGTAGTATTTGTTCAAGCCATACACATTTGCCTTACAGTGGGAACCTGTGCCCATGGGGGCTTGTCAGCAGTGAGGGAATTCTGTATGCTCCCAGTCCTTGCTGTCCCCTGTCTCTGCTCAGTGACTGATGGCAGCTGCCTGGGTGCTGGCAGTTCTGCTGGACTCTCACCCCACTGACTGTCAGCCATTCCCACAGCAGTGCTTTCCTTTACAGAACTTGGCTGATTTTTTTGTCTACTTCCCTACCCTAGTTCCCTCCTTCTTTCTACCAGCTCAGTCTTTTTAACATTAAAGAAGTCTCATGCAGCAGGTGTGTTCCCTGAACTTCAGCTTGCTCATAAGTCACTGCATGGCACCAGAGACACTTGCAAAATGCTTTCTGTGGCAGCCCGTGGGCAGCTGCTGCCCTAAGGTGGCACATTCCCACTTGCTGTGCCGGCTTTGCGCTGCCCAGGGATGAGGCTGCCTGTCGCCAGCCCTGCTCCTCGTGCCCGTCCTCCTCATGGGCTGACTAAAGGTCAGAGGGGACATCTGAGAGGACATCTGCAGCCCATCACCCCTCAGCTGGACAACGAGGGTAGCCTTGGCTCAGTGTGCTACACTTCAGAAGGATTGTCACAACAAATGTTACACACATGGTCTTGCCCTTTGTTGAAGTACAGACCCCTGCTCCTGAAGGGACTTCTTATCTCCCACCAGCCAGCACTGAGTGGGAAGCTTGTGTAAGAGAGGGGAGGCTGAATATTGGTCATATGAACAACACACATACATGCTCAGGTGTGCACCCTAGGAGAGGGTCCAGAAAACAACTAAAAGAAGGCTGGTTTTGTTCTGATTTTACTTCACGTTAATATTCCACCACTATTAGAAAGAAACCCCAAAACTTTTCAAATTAAAACTACCAACAAGCTAGTCCAGGAATTGCATATGTACCTTCCCTGAAAAATCACTTCTGGCATCACAGAACATATTCGTCTACAGCAAATTTCCAGAAAATTTTCCTCTTGCAGGAAATAGTAGGCTCTGAAGATACTTCTAAATTTTTTTTCTCATGGGGAAGAAAAAAAGCAGGCAGGAAAACTGGAGTATTTTATCATGAACCATCATCACCCCAAACCCACAAGGTTCACACTAAGAAATGCACCCAGCAGAGAACATAATTATTTCTCTGTCAGCCTGCCTTGCCTACCAACCCTTCTGAGATCCAGGCTATAGAGGTGACCTCCTAAATATGGCATGGTTTAATTATCCCACCCTCTCAAGCTTTGTGCAGGCACCTGTCTAGGAGGAGCACATGAAAGTCACTGGTTTTGCATGCTGCCAGGACTTGAATGCCGTGGTGTGTGTGCCAGGCTATGCTGGGGCCACCCCCAGGCAGAAGCCCTTGGTGGGGTTTAACCTTAGGAACCAAGGGATGGAGGAGGCATCACCCAAGCCTGGCAATGGCAGGCAAAGCAAATGGGATTTATGGGAGCTGAACCCATTTCTGTGACAAGGGCCAC